TCAAACATTTTCAATACCGGTGCTGATTTTTTGAAAGACATCCAGCTGCCTTATTACTTGGCTTAATCTTAACTCTGATGATGGAAGCAGTGTGTTCCTCAGAAACATCAGTAAATTTCAACAGAACTAAATGTCGTTACATCCCAGAGCATAGAACTATATATCATCACCACTGTGAGAACCTCAACTTCCAACGCACACAGAATTTATTTGTAAACACTGAGTCTTGTTATTTGTGTGCTCACAATAGAATTACTAAGAATTGTTCATACGTCCTTACGTAACCTGTTTCTTTTTGCTCACCAGACAAAACATTTTGGTCTGGATGACAGAACAAACGACAATAATTTCCAGCCCACACGTGCTTTAACATACGTTTGTACACAAGAACTTTTATTAGCATGGTTCAACAAGTTTAGCCATCTTCTTGTCTGTAACGAGCGAAACACCGACCAGCAGAATCTTCTAAACTGATTGCTTAATAATAACTTCCATACTCTCTTCTGATTTTTCCACAGAAGTGGAACAGCATTTTATGCAATGTATATTATGAGCTGGTTAGACCGTTATTGTAGAGTAACTAGAAGGGCGTGGATAGAAGCTGTTTATATTGTGGACAGATGTCTGGCTGGTGAATGGGGTCAAAATTTGTTGTTCCATGCTGACAGCGGTTTCTAAACACATTCCATGTGGAGTTGTGGAACTACCTCCCACCAAGTAAAACTCTACTGTTTTGTTGTTATAAAAAGAGAAAATATAAATTCTTAAGAGGGCCAACAAAACCATATAGACATCTATTTATTAGTAACAGAAATTACGTTATGGTCGAATGGGTAGTGCCCTTGCATCAAACTGAGGAGGTCCCTGTTTCAAACCTCGGCCCGAAAACAGTAACTCCAGAAGATATTTTTCTTTGAATTCTTTGCTTTCTCCAGGAAAATTCTGAGGCAGGAACTCACAAGAACCCACGATCAAGTTCGTTAATATATTTTTGTAATTTATTATTCATTGATTATCCAATTATTCGACGCTCGTTATGCATAAGCGTGAAATTTTTCATTTACAGATGCTTGCCCATTTTATTAGCAGAACTATCTATCAATCCAAGTACAAACAACTAAATTAACCACTTAAGTAATTAAATAAAACTGTGCACTAACCAAACTGTAACTAATTAACTAAACTATCTAACTATAACTTCCTTTAACTAGCTAAACCAACGACAGAAATACAGCCTTCTAACTCAGAGAGAAAGCTCCAAAATTACGAAACGTCGGGTTACTATAATAACGAACTGTCGAGTGTGAACAAATTTCATGAATGTAAGTTATGATGTAGATCACGACAGAGGGAACAGCCTTTTCCCAGTATATCATGTCTAGTACATAAGTGTTGATAATAGTGTGGCGTGCTACCAGGAAGGACGGACTGTAGAACGTCCATTGCTGTTCAACGGCTAGCAACTCCTAGGCAACGAAACATAAACAGACGGTTACCTATGGAAGTGCTTAAGCAACAAAAACCGAAATATTGGGTTCCCACAGCTATGAATGCACAACAATAGGGCGTCCATTGCTAGGCAATGAATGGGTTGACATGCCTGACAGCAATACATGATATCCGTTGCTGAACAGCAATATGTTTTCTGTGGGTGGTCCGTGCCAAGCCTATGTATGGAGCACTGAACACTGTTCTGGGAGGTTCAACGAGCGGTAAGGGAAGAATCAAGCACGAAGGCTCCGCAGGGAATAGTGGTGCAAGAGTATAGCCACTGAAGAGGGAACGTGAAAGGCTTGTTTATATCTGTGAGTGTAAACAAATAATTGTCCAATTAACATTCGTCTAATCCGAAATCCATCTTTTCTTGTCGCGTTGCGTAGGAAACGCGCGACAATATATTTTAATACGGACATGCTAAAGTGACTTCGTTTATAAAAATTTGGAAATTTTCTTCTATATTCACAACACGGCACATTCAAAGTGTCTGTATAGATCAGCTCATGAGAGTCATATCGAGAGCCATGTCTAGCCTGAAACCAACACGATAACCCAAGTGGACACCCCGTAGGTCTGTGTAGGTAATGCAGCGGTAATGTGCTTACACGGCTGCTTGAATTCACATCTATGTGAACAGCATAAGACATATTTGCTCAGACTCTCAACTTACCTGTCTCCTGTTGTTATCAGGCGCATTCAGCAACTGAGTAATATCGCTTGTGGCGTGCATGTACGTCTGGTTCCACTGTTACCTCCAGAGTAGACTCTATTTGGAAATGAACTCCACTGGGAAATGCAACTTCGCAGGTATTGTATATAGAAGGGAGTTTATGCATATTTAATTTGTCTGTCAAGACAGTTAAGAGTTCCTTCTCTGACATGGAGAAAATCATTTTCTGAGCATAAATTTCCTGTATTAATGAGATATGTTGATTAAATTACAAATGTACTCTTTCAAGACAGTTCATTAATTAGTGTTTCTGTAGGCATAAGTTGTTGTCGAACAGCAATATCATAGCCTAACCCTGCATGGGCATCATGGCCCTTTATTATAGCAAGCTTCTAAATGTCGCTATTTCCTCCAAGTAGCGTTTGTATTTTTTTCAAATTAGGAAAAGAATTCTCTCCAATTAGCCTATAAATGTAGGATTCTTATATTTTTAGTTTATCCGTTGATTTAAACAGCCTTTCTTTAGTAACTACTGTATATTTCATCCAACTATTCAAACAGACTGTTTATTTAAATAAATCATGACAGAGTTCTCCTTGAAAAATTGTCACTTTTCGGATTTAAAGCCGTACGTTCTGTAAATATATACAAGAGTTTAGGCGAAATTTCCTGCCTCCATCTTCAGGGTAGATGAAAGCATCAACGTCGTCCTATACATTGTAATCTACCAGACCACACATCATCACCTCCTCAGTTCTTAGCCAGTAAAGAGAGCTAATTATCTGAGATTTCAGATTCTCCTGTCGCTAAATTTCCCTACCGAGGTCTTCTCAAATATGACGCCATGCAGTTTTATAGATAGGTACCAACGTTTTGAAGGAAGCTGCTACTTCCATCTTGAATACAGAAGAGATTACCTTGAAGATGGTGGCAGAAAATTCCTCCGAAAACTTGGTACCCCTGTACAAAATAAAAGAGATCATGTCCCAGAAGACCGTAACATCGAGCAGATACCTGTGCTTGCAGGGAATTAAGGGGGAAAAGCAGAAGACGAAAAGATGAAAAGTAAAAATCGTCCGGAGCTTGGCCACAGTTCCTCGTCAATAGCGAACCAATTAGGATAGACGCATGAGGATATCATTATAGTCCAAGTGGCTCCTGTTAAAATATTTTTATTGCTCTTCGAATACGGGAGGAACACTTGCTAACAGACTTGCTGTTGCCCCCACTTCTTAGGCTTACATGCAGCACACATCTGTCAGAGAAGTTGCCGCAAAGTCACGGCGTTCACCATTCGAAGAGAGAATTTGTTGTCTGCCATTCTCTTATCAAAATGCGAGTAAAGTACCCCTTCTTCTACCTGGTTAAATTATCCTTCGTGTCAATATCATGGCATATCTTACCTAAGACTACACTAAAATTAGAAGATTAAAATTTATTCAAGTAGGGTTTAATTAAAAAATTCGGGCATTGGGACTTGAATTTCATTCAAAACTCATCGTGAATTCTAGCATGTAGCTTTAAAAGTCATAGATATTACACATTTGGGCCGCTCCATAGCTGAAGCGATTAGTCGCTGGCTTCCCACCGCGGCGGCCCGGGTTCGATCCCGGGTCTGGTCAAGTTGGATTTGTGGTGGACAAAGTGGCACTGGGACAGGTTTTCTCCGAGTATTTCGGTTTCCTTTGCCAATCTTCATTCCACCAGTTTCTCCACAATCACCCTCACCTATCATCTGGGCCTGGTACAATAGGCCAGAAGTGGCCGCATACAAGGGACGTAGTCCCACCCCAATAGCAATAAAATAAAATACCACACAATTTGGCAAATGTGTGAAGTAAGTTTAATATATCTAAGTACTGTTAATAGATCCGCGGTAGGAAATAGAAACAGACATTCCTTCTTGCTGAAAAACAAAGATGATGATTGTCTGACTCACAGGAAACAGCCGATTTTCTTTCTAAGTGTTATGCTCCTATAAGCAATCTGATAGCACAGTGTATCTGCTATCCTCTCATTTGGGCCTTGGTTATGTATTACGGAGGTACCCAATTAAAGTAAGGCACTAAGTTTCTTGGTTGGATGCTTGAAAATTTTCTTCGTCCATGTAAATTTTACAGTTATTCACATACATGAAACTATTCTCATTTAGGTTGACAAAAATAACTTCTGATGTTGATAGATGATAAGAAATTAAAAAACAGAACAGTCGAAAAACCGAATGGAGAAGAATACTTAAACAGTCGGTATGTGAGCGGAGACGATAACATTAAAACGGTTTTTAAAACAGAGGTCGGAATTTGTGCACCTGATTCACGTTGCTCTTCTCTTTACGGATGTTTTCAGTACTCCGACTACATGCATGAGCAGGAACTGGTCCTGGCCTGAGCGAGGAGTATTTCGGCATATTTCTAGAGGAACTGAGAGAAAAACGAAAAACCTCAGTCAGGTTTTCTAGTAACCGGGTTGAAATTCAATTGGAGCACCACTACAACACAAGCCTAGAGTACAAATATTACGTTTCTGGACATCATCCATCCTCATGTTTGTATTTAAAACACCGCCTTTTTTATTTAGAACATAACGTTTCGGAGACTGGATTATGTCTCCATCTTCAGGTAAAACCTACTCAGTTGGGTCCGGAGATATGGACTAGCTTTAGCGATTGTGCTCAACTGAGTTGGTTTTATCTGAAGACGGAGACAAAATCTTGTATTTTAAATAAAGCAGGGGGGTTAATAATGTCCAGAAACATAATATTTGTCTGGATGTACCATCGTCACAAACTTAGATCCTATGTAATAAAAGTCTAGATCGCTGCCAATAGTCCTACCTAGTCTGGATGTTGTGAACTCCGATATGAACTTGCAGAATCTGTGATAAATCATTTGGCCAGTCGATCGACCGAGCTTCTCAAGGACTCACCTCTATGGAGTTACCTACAAAATATCTGTAATTATAAAGAAAATAATGAAATTAAGAGTGGGTTGGGTGACCTCAAATGATACTTTTCTGCACAGTTTAATTAAACCTGTCAACTGAGAAAATTTACTGGTGAGACATTGGACCTCAAAACTTCTATCTGAAGTGTGAGTAGCATGATAAAACACGAACATTTCAGTGAAATAATTGTTTCTTACAGTGGATAAGGAAATTTCTTTGCCTTAGCATAAGGGTAAGAAAGTTATTAGCTGGGGGGGGGGTGGAACCAGACATCAGGATGTATTATGTGAGCGTCTATTTTCATCCCTAGCCCATATTCATTCCCGGGCAGAGCTCTACTTGCCGGGACCCGGAGCTGATGCGGAGAGGCAACGTCAGGGCTGCCTACGTCGGAACAAATAATTACCGAACTCGACAAACCAATTTAATTTGGGGACACTTTCTTAGTGCATTATCTCTGAGCACAATATAATATCCGCAGAAGACAGAGCGTTCTTAAAGTAAGAAACAAAAAGAGGAAACCTGACCTGTATTTTTTATATAAATAGGCCTCCATCAAAAAATTAAATGAATAGGTATATTTCTCGGCGGTCTGTACTAAACCTACAATTCTCAGTCTTCTTATAAAAGGTAAGAGTTACCCAACCGGCTAACAAATTTATGTTTTATTGTAATCCAAGTTTCATTACTGCGTTTTTAATTATCTGCTATTGCCCCATAATTATAATCAGTCCAAGTCTTCATTCGCATCCATTTCGTCTACGTTTTATTTCACAACAAACAGAGTAGCAACATGAGAATTGCGAGAGAAACACTGATGTCGCTTAAGGTATGAAATATTAAGTAAAAATACATTAACAATTTTATTATTATTATTAATATTATTGCTATTACTAAGGACTCATTTATAGATCACTGTAGGTCGCGGTGCAAGGGCAGAGAAGGCCCACCCCTTATACATTCATTCATTCATTCAAGGGCATTTTTAATAAGTAAAGCAACAACATGATTGTGGTATGTAAGAGAAATAGTACGAGTATATTAAGAACTACAAACACTGTGATTGCGTCGTGCTTTTAATTATATCTGGAAAACACAAGTGTAATATTTAAGTTACTTAACGTCCTTGTATTTATCGTCCGTCAATATTGCAACACTTCTTTACTCACTACTTAATTTTAATTTAGTTTAACATTTTACGCTTTGACACTAAATATTTCGGCCCCAAACGTCCATCTTCAGGTGTCTTGATATATTCAAATATTACATTAAATTATGTTAAAATTGCTACACGGTCTTAGTCCGTGTTAAAATCACACGCTGTAGTTCTCTTATCAAAGTAGAACAAGATAAAATCCATGAAGTTTATATTGTGCACACGCTAATTTGGTGCATTCTATTTCACCTCACACGGGGTGTCGTCCATTTTTCATAAATGTATGTCCGTCCAGGGTGTTTTGTTTCGGCAGCTTGCCCCTCACGTTCGTAGCCTATTTTTCAGTTATGACTGCCATATGTGTTTCTTCCACAGCGTGTGGTGTTGTCTTTACTAGGCTACTATATACAATAGTACTTTGAAATGGATTACTAAATTTTATATTAACTGATTTATTCGGTAGTAAAAAGGTAAAGCAATTCATGTAATAGGCCTCGGAGGCCCATAGGGTTATGAGACGTTGAGGGTACCACATTATCTAGACAATCTGCTCACAAATTGCGACAAGGTTTTTCAGCCTTACGCGCCGGCCGCACTTTAACCCCAGAAACATTCCTGTTACATATTTCTGTTAGAGGCTGAGTCGACACCAGGGCCATAGCGCGGCTGGAAGGATCAGGTAAAGTAAAGAAACTCCAATTGCCTCTGCCTTATTCGGCAGTTCGTAGTGTTATATAAATTTAAATACTTTATTTTTCTGGTTTATTTTACGACTTTTTATAATCTCAGGCTACATAATGGCGAGTTGCGGGATATATGAACGATTGGTTGGAAATAATTAGGAATCGAGCGGTTTTGGCCTCATTGAAATGCTATCCAACACCTGACTGGAGTGACTGAGGAAAGCCACGAAACCCCTCACATCGATCGGTAATATTCAGTGTGAGATTCGAAGCAAGCACAGTCATAGTACTAGTTAGAAGTGGCAGATACCTTCAAAGATTGTCGTACTTGTAACTGTTCGAAAACAAAAAACAGGAAAAACCAAAGAAAGAGTGGTAAGGAAGTATAGCAGACGAGTGGGCGAAACTGAAACAAAGAGGAAGAAGTGAGGCACACATTATTGCGTGTTTGGGGGGGGGGAAGAGCGATGTTCGGCTAGAAGGTTTGCAGGCTTCACCCGGTCGCCGTTCTAATAAAGGTAGCATGAAAGTGAGGACGTAAGAACTGTTAGAAACTGTAGCGTAGTTTGCAATTTTCATTTCTGAATTAATGTCTACTTGTACGTGTATAACCTGGGAAAATAAGGATATAATTCAAAATTAATTCAGAAAATCAAAATTCCAAACATATCAATATCAGTCACAAACTGACTGCTGGACTTACTAAAAAGGGGGCAGGAACTGATGACAGAAGAACGGTTTTGAAATCTGCCCCATGTCTCAGCATTCACTGAAGTCATAAGGAGAGTCGAATTATTAATATCATTTAAAGAGTTCTATCAACGAAAATTTATTTAACGTCAACTAAGATAATTACATGATCATGAAACTGAGAAATCAACCCTATGCTTCAAAGTTGGAGTAAGAGGAGAGAGAGAAAAGATAATTCAGAAGGACAGAGTAGAAAGCGGTAGTGACACATTTGAAAGCTTATTCCAGACTTCGTTTGGAGGAACTTTGAAGAATGACTGACGTCTCAGGATCAGACTCCAGTCTGAGTTAATTTTATAACTTCAGTCCATTATCTGTCTTCTTTTAGGACTACTTCTTTGTCGGTTCAACTTCTTTATTAAAACCGTCACAACACACCTATATCAAGGTCAGTGCCTAGTTTGGCTCTGCTGCATGTTTCGGCTATTAAAAGCTATGATCAGGCAAATACATGGCCAACATATATGCAACCACTGAACTGAAGTACTAATAAAATTGGATACAATAATATTAATTATATTAAAATACTTTGCGTAAAAATACAATAAATTAGATTATATAAAACAAAAGTTATAGTATAAAACAAGAATAAAATTCTTCGATTGATGCTTTACATAATCGAGTCAGACGTTGTCATTGTCTGTTCACTTTTATGTTCTTCTTAGTAGTTTTTACTGTTGCTTCCTTCAGGACAAAAGTCCAGTGTGTCCCTTTCCATGCACAATTCTCCCTTCTTTGGTAATAAGTCCCGTTTTTTTTCCCATTTTCTTCTTTTAATTTCTGCGTTGTTTCCCTCCGATCCAGTTTTTCAGAGATATCTTTTTTGAAGTTAAGTGATGATCATCTTACATTTGTGCTCTGTATAAGCAGCGATTTACAAATATTTGCAATTTATGATCAAGAAATCAATTCGTCTTCAATATTTTACACTGTAGAGAGGAACAGTTTCAACATTGACATTACACACTTTAAATTTAATTCATTCTTACAGACAGTAATGTGACTAACGTTCAGTAATTAATTAGTGTCATTTGCATTAATGGGTGATTATATATAATGTTCAGAAATAATAAAAGTTAAATAATTTAATCACAGTGATGCCTACATTAACATTACACAATTCTGAATTTGTTTACAGGTTGCATTTATGGGCTTTCTTCTGAGAATAAATAGTGAGTATCTTCCTAAACGTCGGTCACGGTAGCCGAGCGATCTAAAGCATTTACTGCCTTCGCTCGCTCGAACACTGGGATCTTGGGTTCGAATCCCACTAAAGGCATGGATATCTGTGTGCGTTTATTCTGTGTTTGTGTTGTCCTGTGTTTAGGTAGAGGCCTTGCGTCAAACTGATCACTCGTCCAAGGAGTCCTACCGTCTGTAAGAATGAACATGAAACGGAAAAATTAGAGACCAGGGTCCAAGGGGTCTGTAGATCCAGCGAAAAATAATTCCTAAACGGCATTAACCAGTTAACTTTCGTAATGGGTAAATTTTCTTTCTGAAGCTTTTAAACTATTTTTAAACATTGTTTTGAGAATTTCAGGCATTAAAGAGTTAATAGAGAATCCAACACAATTCTGGGAATGGATTATCGGGTATAGTATCTATTTTAGTTGTTAGATTAGTGTGAAATTTAACTCTGGTTGTGTAAAGAAATTTAGCATTGCTTCCCGGTTTTCAGTTCTTTATTGATTTCAGGACCACATTTCACTATAACATCAGCCCTTTTCTGGTCCCTGTAATGACATAATTGCAGCAGAATTCACAGGTCACATCACGTTTTAGAGCGAAACCGTTTATTACTGTTCGAAAAAAAAAACTGTCCCTGTGACGTTCCTTTGTTTCACAGGTTTTGGGCTGGCCATGGCGCTGTTGTAACCATTACACACAGATCGATATAAAGTGTGGCGGGGTAGCTAGCACATCGGCTGGGGCCTTGGTTTTGCTCCAGCCGGAGGCTGCAAAAGCATTCTGGAGCTGACGCTGCGTTGCTAGGCAACAGGATATAGAAGCAAATCCTACCCCGCCCTTATCTGTTCTCCCGGGAACACGCGTAGTACAGAGAGATTCGAAAATGTAGCTATTGTTGTACGAATTTAAGTAGGTATAGTGAGAAGTTTCAAAAGTCGGATTTCATTGCATCGTAAGTTTAAGTTGTAGACTCGAGATGAGAATAATTCTTAGCTTTTAGTGCTGAAGAAAAGCATCTCGAGAAAACGAACAGCTTAATTATTTGTATTGTTCTCCAGGGCATGTAGCATGCATGGGGGAGAAGAGGAATGTCTATTGATTTTGGTAGGAAAGCCAGAAGGAAAGAGATCACTAGAAAAACCTAGACGTAGGAAGAAGGACAATATTAAGATCGTTCTTAGGGAGATAGGATGGGGTGGTATTGACTGGATTAATCTGGTTCAGCAT